CCCCCGCCTCCAAAAGACAGACGGACTGCCGTTTTGGATCACACTTGAACCAAAATGGCAGCCCATTACAAGCTCAGGATGATTCATGTGCGCCCTAGCCTGCCAAACTCAACACATGCATATGCTTCTGGAACCCTTATAGTACCCTTATAGAAGCCCTTATCGATCTAAAGGAACCCCTTTTAAAGGGACCCTAATTTAATGAGGGCTTTCCTTAAAAGCCCCTGAGATGAGAAGCCGCGGAACCTCCGTAAGGCGCTCGAAAGCTTGCTTCAGGAAGATGTGCACCTCCGAGACCGGGCGTTAGGGTTCAGGGTTTTTGAGGGTTTTAGGGCTTAGGGTTCAGGGTTTTTGAGCGGTTTAGGGTTTAGGGTTCAGGGTTTTTCAGGGGTTTTGGGTTTAAGTTTAGGGCTTGAGGGCCCTCTTCCTCCGCGCAACCTTTTCCTCCTTGCGACAGTCGGAATACCTACCAGGCGTAGCCAATACCCGAGACCCAGACAGGAACATGCAGACATAAATGAACCACATAATTGAACCAAATCGGTAGTTGTCAAAATTATGGGCCCTTTTGGGGTACCCTAAATATTAGGTGCCGTGTTATTATAAGGACCCAAAAAGGGACCCTAATTTTGACAACCACCCAAATGAAGGTAGGAGTCCCCCATAGTCTCGAGGCTCACAACGAAAGCACCAAAGCTCCAGATGTGGAGTCTCCCATAGACGGGATAGATACTTACAAGGGTTTATAGGGTTCCCTTAAAGGGATCTATAAGGGTTTAGGGTTTAGGATTTAGGGTTTACTTAAAAGATCATGGGACTTAGTAAGTAGGGTTTTAAGTAAGGTAACTATACTTATAACCCCAATTAGGGGACTTATAACCTTTACTTACTAAGTCCCATGATCCTCCAAGTACCGATAAGCATACCTCTAAGCCCTAAACCCTAAACCCTAAACCCTAAACCCTAAACCCTAAACCCTAAACCCTAAAACCTAAACCTCTAGCATCCTCTGGGGCCCATGGAGCTGCCGAGCAAAACGCACGGCACTTCCTCGATGCCTCCGCGCAACATCACATCATCTCGCAACTAAAGTCGGTGACCCCAGTCTACAGGAAACCCTAAACCCTAAACCCTAAACCCTAACCCCTAAACCCTAAACCCCTAAACCCTAAACCCTAAACCCCTAAACCCCTAAACCCCTAAACCCTAAACCTAACTGACATCTGAGCTTCAAGGCCGTATCTAGTTGCAGCACAACCGAGGCCTCGATCACATGCCATTTCTTGGCGGACTTCTCACTAGGGTAGTTGTCAAAATTATGGCCCCTTTTGGGGTACCCTAAATAATAGGTGCCGTATTATAACAAGGACCCAAAAAGGGACCATAATTTTGACAACTACCCACAAACTGAGAACAGCTCGGCAACTCGTGTCCACTCTTTAACCCAATACCAGCAAGTCAATGCTGCGTGGAGTACTGTAAGCTCCAGCGGCTTTGAGGAACGTTTTGAACGTTCTTCCAACGTAGATCGTCCTGTGATCTCCTTCAGGATAAGAGCGAGGACCGTACATATAGAACTGTGAATTCATCGACACTTCCTAGCGATGCCGATGATGCCAAGGATGCCAAGGATGCCAGTAGTTATGGTTTTTGTGCCACCACTTCTGAAGGCCGCGGCTTCTGTGCCACCACTTCAGGCTGCGGTTTCTGCCGTTTCCGTGAGACTTCTTGCGATAGCCATGGGCCTCATCACCCCCATCACACTCCACCGAAACGACGAAGCTCTCTTGAGTGGTGCTGCCCACTGCGTCGACTGCCGTGCAGGTCACCTCTGTCTCGCCGACGGGGAACTCGGAGCCCGATGACGGACTACAGGCAGCTGTCACACCCGGGCAGTTGTCACCACAGCAAAACACTCATCCTCGTCGTTGGGCACCGTGATGTCAGCCGGGACGACCAGCACAGGTGGCGTCGCATCAGGGTTACAACCAGTTGGTAGCACTTGTAGGAGGGCCTGGTCGTCGTCGTTAGCAAAGCTTGAATTTCCCAGGTGCTCCCCATTCGACCCATGCACGAGCACAACCAAGGCCGCTAGCAGCACTTTGCCTATAAAAGTACAGCCCTGCATGCCGCAAGGTCGCAGGCAAGCTGACCTTTGATCCTGCACTACATCGGCATGGGTCAAAATGGCGTTCAGTGTTTAGGGTTTAAGTTTTGTTTTCTGAGCACTCCGTCCTGAAGCAATCGCAAGAAGCTTGCAGGCGCAAGTTGCTTTCCCCTTTTGTCCGCTCAGAAGCGAAAGCCTCATTGAGCCTGTCACCAAAGCCAAGGCGCCTTGTCCAAGCATTGTCTTTCATCTAGTTTCGCACAGGTCAAGCCTCTACTTTGATCCAGGCATCTGTCTTGGTAACCCTCTCGTCATTGCTAGACATGACGGTTCCGATGCCACCAACACCTCAAAGCTCAGTTGGAGAATGCCACGCGTTTTCTGGCATCCACGGCGTCTTCGGTAGGCAGCCGGGGGGATCCACCTCTCACTTCAACCATGCAGCAACGAAACATTACACTCTGCATGAGGCAACGTGCAAACCGTGTTAGGAAGAAAAACTTTTTCAGAATGGTTCCTGCCGGACTCGGCAGCATGATGATACCAATAACAACCCTTATGCCGTAAGCTGCCAAGTCAAAGGGCATTGCAAGACCACAGCCACCTGGCTCTCTGCTTTACGGCCCACCTCGGCTCAAGAGTCTGCGAAGCGGCGGCCTTAAGTTGAAAAAGGGTTGTGCATCACAGAGGGTCTCTTGAGCTGAGGAAGTACTGTCCAGATAGGAAGGCCGGATGATGGTTTCTGAGAACTTATGATGCATTGCATAAGGGCATATCACCAAACTTGCCTGCAGCCTCGCATTCAGATTTTTCCAGGCGAACATCAGCAACGGTCCGTCAGCAGAGGTTCAGCTGTCAGAAGCCGTCGGTGCAGAAAGCTTTACTAAGATAGTTAATTTTTCCAAGCAAAGTCGTGAGCGCGTGACTCTCGCACACTCCCCGCCACGTTCGAACCACACTGAACTGTAGATACCACCCCCGGCAATGCAAGAGTCGGGTTATACGGGCTCACATCAGGTAAGCAGCAGTTCTCCGCGCTTGCTTCTTCACAAGCACGGTGCGCAAGTGACACAACAGTCTTCCAAGGCATGCAAGTACCGGGCTGATGTCCTCATGCCCCTCTGGTGATCTGTGGGCTGTAAGGAGCATCTGCATCTCAGAAATGTAGCGGCGGGTGCTCAAATGCACGAGTACTCATGCCTGCTGCTGGAAGCTGGAAGATCAAGTAGAGGCCTGCCATGAAAGAAGCCAGCAACAGTTGAACGATCACAATAAGAATCGTCATCATGACGATATTACTACAAAGAAGAGTACCATCACGACTATGGCGATAACAGCAGTAGTACAGTCAAACAAACTTCAGCCACCAGTCCTACGTCCTAGGCCCTTGGAATCCTGCGCCCCCAGGGCACTCTCTCCCAGAAGCTACCAAGAATCCTAAACGTGGAAAACCTGGAAACTCCAGAACCCTAAAATCCCAACCTGGAACCCCAAAACCCTAAAACCCCAAACCCTAGAACCCTAAACCCTAGATCCCCTACTCCCCTAGTTAAGGACCCGGAAACCCGCACCTTGGGCGCTGGTGGCCCCGGTTGTGGCCGCGCGATGCGCTTGGCCAAGGGTGAGGCCTTTGGCTGATCCGGGCCCATCCCCTGGCCTGGTCAGGGTTTAGGGTTTAGGGTTTAGGGTTAGGGCTTAGGGTTTAGGGTTTAGGGTTTAGGGTTTAGGGTTTAGGGTTTAGGGCTTGTGAGGTTTAAGGTTGGTACGGCTTTAGGGTTTACGGTTTAAGGTTTATCAGAGCTTAGGGCTTAAGGTTAAGGGTGTAGGGCTTATGCTTAAGGTTTCTTAGGGGTTTAGGGCTTAGGTTTACTACGGGTTTAGGGTTTAGGGTTTAGGGCCCGAGACTGCTTTTAACTACCATGGTTCAGGGTCTTTCTGTTGCGGTGTTGTAGACTTGTACGGCTTGCAGCATGCAGGGTCTCAGGGCTTTGGGCCGTCGGCTGTGCGCTTGGAGGGTAGCTGTGAGTTATATAAGTTAAAACTGCCTTCCTGGAAGATTTAGCGGAATAAGACCTCAAAGGCTAGACTTGAGAGATGTGGCTCCGCTCGATAGCACTGCAAGGCTGCGCACGAATGCACACATTGTCCAGATCGCGGCGGTCCAGACGAAGAACTCGGATCTCATTCACAGCCCATCCCTGACATCCAACTACCCGGCTCGGGCCTGAAGGTCCCAGCTGCATCGGGTCCGACGTCATTCCGCCAGGGAGTCCACGGCCAGAGAGAGGCCTTTGCTTACTTCGGGTCCTTTCGGAAACTCTGGGTTCAGAGATGAGGGGTCTTGGTGTGTAATATTTCCGATATTTGGGGCTTGGAGTTTAGGTTTAGGATGTTCTGAACTGGGGTTTAGGATGTTTAAGGTTTAGGGTTTCTCGGTTGGCTCAGAGATTAGTGCTCCAGGGATCTGGGGGCTTCCGGAGCCAGACTATTCAGAGGAGGAGGCCCTCACAACAATGCCGACTGCTAAACCCCGGTGCACTCTTTTGCAGCGAGGCCACCCAGCCATGGGGTTGCCATCAAGGCCAGGCAGGCCATAGCCTTGGCGGTGCGGATGCAGACGACGATGATGATGCTGATGATGATGATGATGATGATGATGACGATGATGACGATGATGATGATGATGACGATAACGATAACGACACGAAGACGATGATCATCATGACGACGAAGACGTTCACGATCACGATGATGGCCATGACGATGACGATGATGACGATCATGACGATGACAATGAGGATGACGATGATGACGATGATGACGACGATGACGATGATGACGATCATGACGATGACAATGAGGATGACGATGATGAGGATGATGACGATGATGCGGATGATGTGGATGATGGGGATGAGGATGATGAGGATGATGCGGATGATGGGGATGAGGATGATGAGGATGCTGATGCGGATGATGGGGATGAGGATGATGAGGATGCTGAGGATGATGCGGATGGGGATGATGAGGATGATGAGGATGAGGATGAGGATGATAATAATAATAATGGTCATGACAACAACGATGAGGTCCTGTTGGTTGGTGGTGATGTTGCTGGTCCCGGCTTCTGGTGCTAGCTGACTTTGATGCTGATGTTGATGACAAGCACCGTCAGACCCCTAAACCCTAAACCCCTTAACCCTAAACCCCTAAACCCTAAACCCCTCAACCCTGCGATACTGGTTAAGCACGGGGAACCCGGCCTGGCGGACCTGGCAGTGGCTGCCCTGTGTGCGGATCCTGCAAACTCTGTGATCTGTCTGACAAGAAGAGAAGAGCGGATAGCAGATTGTAACATACTATAGTCCATTGTAGTATACTATAGTCCCTTGTAGTATACCATAGTCCGTTATAGTAAACTTTTTAGAGTCTACTGCAACATACTATAGTTCATCATGGTCTTCTTGACCTGTATAGTCCACTACAGTCTATTATGGTGTATTCTGGAATATTCTTCTGGAATATTCTAGTAGAATGCATGCTTTTGTGTTCTAACAGGAAGTTTAATCACGATAAGCAACCGTAGTAGTAACAACCCTGGAGAACAGCTGGAAACACGAAGCTTCACCGGCCCTGAACCGAACTTGCAAGCCCCTCTGAGCCGTCGTTCGACGTCCTTCAACGTCAGCGCCAGCTGCAGCGGCTGCTGCGCCCGCTTGTCCACCACCTCCTGGGGCAGGCGCAAACCGGATTTTCAGAATCTTTAGGGTTTAGGGTTTTGGATTTCGGGTTTAGGGTTTAGGAGCAATCGATTAAAAGAGTCAGAGAGGCTGTTTCGCTAGGCAGCTCAGTGTTCTGAAGCGGTTCTGAGACCTGACTTCTGCATGCAAAGCGTCCTTCCAAAGCTCGCGCTCATGGCGAACACGATCCTCGGCAAGATGCAGAAATCCCAGGGAGGGTGGCGGTTTTACGGCTTCGTCGGGCACTGGGACACGCGAATGCCCCTTGTGCAGGCATGGCTCCAGTTGGCTTTCGATGTGCTGCTGCGAGATCTGCAGAAGGCGTAGCACGGAATGGTCAGCCTGCCGAGCTGTTTGCTGCTTCTTCACCTCTCCCCTCTTCTTACTATCCCTCGGTTTTGTTTAGCAGCCTTAGCACTCAAGCTTTCCGGAGCCTTCTTTCCAAGGAGGTCGAGAATGCTGCGATACTTCTGTGAGGAGATCTGCCGCCACGTCTTGTCAACCTTGCTTGCACCATCCGAGGTCTCTGAAGATTCGGGGGGTGTCCCGGCTTCTGGGCAGTTCATTTAAAGGCAAGAGGCCCGACTCACCAGATTCTGTGCGCAGTCCTCCCAATTCAGCAGCTCCACATCAACATCGAGCTCTTCCTTGCAGCGCGGGTGAACAAAGTCTGGCCATGTTCCATCTCGCGCCCGAAAACTTGAAAAGTTGCCTCAGTGCCATCGTTCATCCTCGCTCCAGGGAACACCCCCACCACCTGGCAGATGGAGAAACAAGATTTTAGATACTACGAGTCTACGAGTAGCCCTATCATTATCATGCCCTTTCAAACGTCAGGAAAGGGCAGAGCCTGGCATAGTTTGACCGTGCCACGGGTGAGCTTCGTGACGTTCTCCTCGCACAGGTGAAGCGGCGTCAAGAGAGAGGGACCGGTGCACGGCACGACATCTTGATCATATTCCCACCACTAGGCCAGGCAAAGGAGGCGACGGCTCGATAGGTGACTTTTTGACGCCTAGATGGCTTCAAGTTGAGCTTTGGGAAGTCAGGTCCGGGATCCTAGAAACGTCGGACTTCTGCAAAATTCCGGCTCTGTTTAGGAATCTCTACTCTCGATAAGCATGGTCTCAGTCGCGACCCTGCTTCCTCCAAGCTTTGGAAATTCTTCTCATAGACCTTCTGATCAAGCTCCTGCCAAGGGTTGTCTGTCTCAGTTTCTACCAGTACCACACCAAACGAGCAAGATGACACTGAAGGCGAAAGTGATGATGATATGATGACGATGATGATGATGATGATGATGATGATGATGTCTGAGTCAGAGTTTCTTGCAAACTGCCTTCGTTCGAGCTGGGGCGCATGTATATGCTATATACATACACATACGGATGTAGGCTATGTATGTAGGTAGGTAGGTAGGTAGGTAGGTAGGTAGGTAGGTAGGTAGGTAGGTAGGTAGGTAGGTAGGTACAGATGGACGGGTGGATAGCTGGATGGATGTATGCACTCGTGTATGTATGTATGTATGTATGTATGTATGTATGTATGTATGTATGCATGTATTTATATGATGGAAACATATACAAAAGATTCAATGTCCGTCATGTACAACCCAGTGCCTCATAGATGCCGTCCACATCCTGCTTGTGCCGCTGGTTGTCCTGCATGCCACGAGATGGGATACAAGCTCAGGACAGGGATAGAGCGAGGGAACGAGCGAGGGAGCGACAGAGAGAGAGAGAGAGGGAGAGGGAGAGCGAGGGAGAAGCAAGAAAGGAAGGAAGGCCCGGCCTCGATGCGTTGGCGCTCCAGCTTGCGCAAGTCGTCACTGTTCTTCCCGATGTCCACGTCATGTGCGGCACTTTTCACGGTCAAGTTGTTCACCTGCAAGTCTTGTGCACAGCAGCGGGCTTTCAGACCCTTCGACGGGAAAGGACAGTATGGAACGGAGGGCGAGGCATGCAGAAGCAGCTCACGTAACAAGCCTGCCCGAAAGCGCCAAAAAGTGAAAAGACCTGCGGCTTGGGCGGCCTCATCACGCAGCTTCCCGATATCGCGCTTGGACTCGCCACTAGCACCTCAACGAGGGGTGTGAAGAAAGCGGTGCATCAGCCACCCCTGAGGCCGGAAATCACTACGCCCTGAGTCCAGGACCCTGAAGTCCTGCAATGCGGAGGTCCAAGGCGTTCAGGCGCTTCGAGGTTTCCTGTGCCAGCCGAGCCATGGCAGCGCATGGCTTTCGGAAGCCCGACCCTGCAAATGCCTTGGAGATGTTGGAGTGGTGGCGCTCGACACCTCGGGAGCAACAGACCCTACTGCTTCCAAACCGGCCGCCTGTAGTCCTCCATCTCGAACGTAATTGCACAACCTCTGTGGCCGAGAAACCATCGATACGGTCGTTGACCTCCTTGTGGAGGTCTTCGTCTTGCTTTTGTAAATGAGCTTCCAGCTGTGCCGTCCTCCGATCGGACAGAAGCAGGAGGTCAAGGTGCTAACTAGCGCATGAAGTTGATACTGCACGCTGCGAGCTGGCCTGTTGTCGATCTCCTCCCGATGTGAATCGATCTTCGCATGGATCTGTTGGTGAGTGTCACCGTGGCGGCCTCGTGAGACAACTCTACGCCTCTGAGCACCTAAACCCTAAACCCTAAACCCTAAACCCTAAAACGTCTACCTGCAAATCTCTCGGATCTCTCGGATCTCTCGGATGGCTCGGGTCCGGGCCCAGGGTCGTCTCCAAGTCCTTGCAATGCTGGTGGCGTTCATCAAGACGTTGGGACACCACGGAGTTCGAGTCATCCACGTAGCCTCAGAGGAGCGGAGAGAAGAGGCGAGCCGAAAGTAGAGGGCAGTGGGGAGGGGAGGCTCCTTGAGAAGTGGCGCTAAAAACAGCTTGCTCTGGCTAGGCTATAGGCCTTAGGACAGGGAGCGTTGGATGTTGGCGGCATTCGTATCGACCTTCTCCGCCAAGCTCTTCAGATTCTCGCGCAAACTTCCGAGGTCTTCGTCCACCTTGCGCCTGCGGCTGTCCACTTCCAAGCGCAGCGCGGAAGCCATGTCGCGTACAGTCTTGATGGAGGCGTCGATGTCGTCGTTCATATCATTCCAGGCCGTGATGTCCGTCTTGGCATCGAGCTTCGCTTGGGTGCTCTGGGCATGCTCGCCAATATCTTCGGACAGCTGCTGGCAGCGCTCATGCACCTCCTGCAGACTCTGGGACACATCCTCCATCCAGGCATCGTGCGCTTTCAAGGCCTCTTGCATGTCCCCCATGTCCAGGCGCATGGTGGAGATCTCCGCAGTGACCGTGGCTTCCACGCGCTGGCGCGAGGTGATGATAGAGTGCGTTGAGTCAACACGTGCTCTCATCTCATCCAGGTCGACGTTCACGGCATCCATCGCAGCAGTGAAGTCTTCCATGTCCCTCTCACAGGCGAGAACGATGCGCTTCACCTGGGAAGTGTCAGTCTTGGAGGCATTCAACATATCCTTCAGCTCGCCCATGTCATACTTCACCGCATCCAGGTCATGTGAAAGGCTTTCCAAGCCTGGAGGGCTCGAGGCATCTGCACCAGTGCCGGCCCTCTGAGAGCCCAAGAAAGACACCTTCTTCTCCACGTCCTCAGGGCAAGTCACACACAGCCTGCAATATCTTACGATAACATGCGAGGCTAGTCCATGCAACCTGATCCACTACGTCCCACCTGTGTGAGCTGCTGGATCTGCGTTGACACCTGCGCCTCGAAGTCGCTCATGCGGTTGGTCATCTTCTTCAGGAGCTGGCTGTCGCTCTTGCTGGCCTGGCTTCCCTTCTCCTCGCCACCAAGCTCCGAGAGGACGCGAGCCTCCAGCTTCTTGAAGCGTTCGTTGACGTCCTGAACCAACGCATCCGACTTTTGGCTGACCGTCGACTGCATCTCGCGAGACTCCTCAGGGAGGAGTGAATCTGACGGCACACCACCACTCCACCACCATCAACCAAAACACCAAAGGCACAGCTTGGGCAAAAGCTCCCCCTCCGCGTGTCTAGTTCCGAGAGCTTTTCACCCCTCCAACTAACCTTCTAGAACACTCCACGAGCACTACAAGGCTTCCGGAAAAACAAAAGCCAGCACAACTCTCGGCTCCTGAACCACCACTTCCGATGCATACTTCTTCACATCTGCCAAGACTTGCGACAAGTCCGCGGTGGAGGCATCGTGCAGGGTCGCAAACATCGAGTTTGTATCCTTGAGGACCTCACGAACCTCGGGAGCTTTTGCAGAATCCCTAGAGTTTTGGAAGGATCCCTTCGCACCGGCCTAAGAGCCTCTGGCATCTTATGAGATTTCAATCTTTGCCGAGCGACCTGCTCGCACTCCGAAGCCACGTCGGCGAGGCTCATCTTGGCACAGACCTTGCTCACGAGGGCCAAGATGCTGTCGCTGTTGTGATGGCACGCCTGCATGGTCTCAACGAGGAGCTTCTGATTGGCCAGCATGATGGCAGGTCTTCTGCCACAGCCGAAGCCGGGGATCTGTTTGGAAGGCAGCCGATCTACTCCACAAAGCGTAAATACCGCAAGATGGCTGCTGAAAATACAACTGCCTGCAATTTAGTAAAGCCTTCTGCCACGATATGTCCGTCTGCCAGCAGCCAGATGGCCTGAGCCTGTGGAAAAAAGGAGTTGAGGATGAGACGTGACGACAAGAGCGTGAAACGATGAAATGCTGATTCTCGGCCCACAGTCGGACACGAACGCACCTTTCACACTTTCAGGCCCCTGAGCCCCCAAACCCTAAGCCCCTGAGAGCAGCGGCAACTTGGCCACCCGACACAACCAGCGCTGACAGCTGATAGAGTCAGGCGGGGGCCGCTGTAGAGAACTCCACCTGTTGCGCTTTAACTCCAGTATACAGGTTACTGTAAAGGTACTATAAGGGTACTAAGGGTTACATAAGGGATACAATACAGGGTACTATAACGGGGTACCAAAACGGTTACTCTCAGGCTACTATAAAAGGCTACTTTAATAAAGCTGATATGACGGTGATGTGGGGGGGGCACTGCATGGGTTGCTGAAATCGTACTGCAGGAGCTACTACGAGGGTTGTACAGTAGCGACGTCGATCTTTGCTTTCTTACGTAGATTCTTGGCCAGATCGGGTATTCGTACACAACCATTCGGGCATTGGGCCAGGGGTGGCCCCCATGAGACAATGCTTCCGACCGGGAGACTGTCGGATTACCCTGGTGTTGGGTCTCGGGCTCAGGGTTTAAAACTTGGGGTTCACGTAAACACTGGAGAGGGACGGGACAGAGTTACATACATGCATACATACATACATTGATTGCATACATACATACATACATACATACATACATGCATGCATGCATGCATGCATACATACATACATGCATACATACATACATACAGACATATGTACATGCGTACATGCATACATGCATACA